AGGTGCTGGAGTTGGCGTACTGCATTTGGCAGGGGCTTTGTCTTTAGACCGTCTAGTGTGACTAACTGAACCTTGTCACGGGTGCTTGGAGGAGCCTGCTGGGCAGCCTCTTGTCAAAAGACTATGGGCCAAGTTAACAACTGTAAAGACCCATATTTTATTTCCCCTGGTTCTGCACTTTCCATTGAACTGAACGCTAGCTCCCTGGCGGCCGTTCGAATGGACAAAACTACAAGTAGACTTCAGGGGGACTTAGCCATGAATGCCCTGGAACTATTTTCAGCAGGAAGACTTCCCGGTTCCCGGTCGGTCCCCCAGCGGCACTTAGCCTCGATTCTATGGAACTATTTTCGGCACGAAGACTTTGTGGTTCCCAGTCAGTTGCCAGCGGCATTTAGCTGCGATTCTATGGAACTGTTTTGGGCATGGGACCATGCTTTCGGTCGGTAAAAACTATGACTTCCAGGAAATTCCTGAACCCCTGAACTGATCTGGGTGATTTTTGGATATGGCACCCAGATCGGGACTATCAGGGTGTAAGAAATTATGACCCTCTTACAAGGATATTCTTTTAGGGAATGTGTGACAAATAAGACACAAACACAAGTGTATAATAAAATGTATTGTCAAAATTAATTCAAAGATACTGTTAGATTTTAAAAGGATATATACATTACACATTATTAGTGATGTCATGAATTTTTCGCGAACGGCTCGCGAACGGCTCGCGAACGGTTCGCCACGGTTCGCAGCGAACCGTTCGCGGCGGACTCCAGTCAGCTGACACATCCCGGCCAATATGTAATATGTGTGTTTTTTGTGTTTGGAGATAATTGAGTTTAGTATATGGCTTGACTCAATTATCTCCTAAGTAAAGGGGCAGGCTTATTGTATTGTATATGGGAGTGTCATGCATTGAAACACCGTTATTATTGGTCTGTGACTTTGTAACGGAGTTCCCCACAAGGTCCATGTGGGAGTGCCCCTTGCATTGGGATTGTCACAAAAGGCCAAGTGGGGCACCATTAAAATCAGTTCCTCTTCACTCTCAACATAGAGCCTCACCTCGTGTTTGTAGGGACCTGCTATACAAGCTATAACCACTGGCTCTTATAAGAGCTTCGCAGCTATACGCTCTTGGAGGAGAGGCTCACCCACTGGAAGCTGGATCCTTGTCTTGGGTTCAGGGTTGGTGGAGAATGGCGAGATCCTATCCAAGTTGCGGCGGCTAAGGGGCTACAGTACTGATGGTGTCTGATGGAGTGCTTGGAGTCCTCGGTGAGCACTAGGAGCATCGATTGGCGGAGGCACCCAGTCGGGGTGCCAGGCGGTCCATCACATCTAGTGTCTTCACCATTCCAGTGGCACTTGCTATGATCAGAGGCCGCCCTGTAGTGGAGCTAATAAAGAGAGATTATGCAAAATATGAAGCCTCCTGTCATGTTGTAAAATTAATCAGAACATTCGCACCTGCAACAAGGGAAGTAATTAATGAGGCTCTGCTGCTATGCCGCCATTTTGTACAGACAAACGCCAACCAGGGGGAGCCTTCGTATCCTGAAAGGAGACGATTTCCTTGCCGGGGGTTCACCCCGGAGCCGCACGAAAGGAGACCAGTCGGGAAAGGCACAGTTTTGGGGTTCTGGAGGTTGGCTTTTCTGTGCCTGGGAGACAAAGGGACAGTCTCTTTTCTCCCAGGCACAGGGGATCCTGGGATGAAGACCCCCGGTCGTTTGGTGTGGGAGAATCCTTGCATGTGTGGCGGGCTTTCTGTACCTGGGAGACAAAGGGACAAAGGGACAAAGGGACAGTCAAACCCCGTGCTTTGACTTCCAGGTATAAAGTATCCTGGGATACAACCCCGGCTGGTTTGGGATAAAGACCCCTTGCATGGGGCTATGCATAAAAGCCGTGTGTGGCATAATAAAGATCACTTGTACTTTTCATCTAGTCTCAACTGATGTTTGGGTATGTGACTGCTGAACAGCGTAATTTACTTGTATGTTACACTGGGATTCTCGGGGAACTTACAAATCAGCGCCCGAACTGTGAGCTATAATTGTGACAGAACCAACTGCCTGTGAAATACGTTTATTGTTCCCTTATTCGTTTGTTCAGCTATTCCCCTGTCCGTACGGTCCCCACGCTTGTTTCTATTTTTACCGAACAATTCGCCGAATGGCCGGACACCCAGCATGGAAGTGTGCTGCTGGTTAACCTCTTGGCCTCATTAGAACATTGTGGTTAACCGCAGACAGTGCCTAATTGTCGAATGCCGACTGGGTGGCGGCCATTTTGGACATACAAATGCTCAGCGGTGTTCGTCGATGATTTCATGGAACTAAAAACGGACACTGTTTCTCACAAACACAGCTGAAAGCCGCCGACTTCCCTTCTTCTATTTTTAAGCATACGAACACCGGTCTGTTCGGTAGTTTCTTTTCTCGAATACACTTATCCCAGATAGCTGTGCCATGGAGCCCATTCGTATAACGAAAGACTATGTGAAAGACTTTGGCTCCATGGCGATTGAACTGTGTGTATAGGATCTGAGCGCCGTGCGGTAATAATGTGCGCTCAAATCCAAGCTATCTGGGGATGTGTTGAATGTATCTATTGTGTTCGGTAATTCTTGTATTATGTATTTTTATGTATTTTCACTATTTTGTATAAAATGGAGTTTGGCCTCTGTCCTCGGAGATAATTGAGTTACTTCCCAATTATCTCCAGGACAGAGAAGAGGGTCCTATACCGTAAAAGAGAAGTGGTTAGGTCTTCAACTCTGTGATTGGCTAATGTACAATATGTGTCCCAGTTTTCCACCAGGTCCCCTAGGGGAGTGTCCACCTGGTGGAAAACCTGCATAAATACCAGGCAGGTAGCCCATAATAAACCAGATTCCTGCTGACCCTCAATATGGAGCTTTGTCTCGTACTTGGGGGGATTTATTCGTATGGTGATTCTCATTTCGATGTTTGGAGGGTGTATGATTTGTATGGTTCCTGTTCGGCTGATTGGAGTGATCGGTAGTTGCCTTCGTATTCGGGAAAGGAGCATCTTATACGGTTTTAACCCCTTTTATCCCTGGGTTATCGTAACAATAATCACTAAGTATCTATCAGTTCGGGAGGAACCAAATGAACTGGTAGATGAAATACCAGCATTCTTTTCAATTGGTGGCAAGCGATGGGATCAGAACGTTCGAATGAAACGCCCGAACATGGAAAATCGGTGAATGGCCCAGCAATACGAAAGGCTAAAAAGAACGACGCTGCAGGATTTGCTGGAAGCTCGGGGTCAGTTGGCAAGTAACAAAAAGAAAGCCGTACTAATAACCGAACTGATGGAGGGCGATCAAGCCAGCGGTGCAGCGGAAGTAAGCCGGGAGGGCGATCAGGCCAGCGGTGCAGAGGAATTAAGCCGGGATGAAGCAGAATTCTAGAGGAAAGTCACCTGGAGACTAAGTCTGTTGGGGCCAAATCCTCCACCCGAGGTAGTGGCGCAAATTATGGGGCAAGTAAGCGCTGCCCAGATGACCCAGCAGGCGAACCTGCAGCAAGCAGAGATGACCCCGCTACCAGGATCTCTGAATGGGGGCAGCGTAAAAAGATCAACTATGCTGCTATTAAAAATTTTGCCGACAGGGAAATGGAGATTAACACATACTCACAAGACTTTGAAAGACAATGGGCTCTGGAGGGTCTGGATAAAGCAAGTTGGCTGCAAAACTGAGCAGAAAATTATCCGGCTGAGGAAGAAGCTTACCAGGCTGTACACGACTCGGACATACATGACTATGAGTGGGTAAGAGACATTTTACTGGTCCGGTACTCTGTCACTCCTTAAGCCCACAAGAGGAAATTTCGGGGTTTAAGAAAGGGAAGCAGAGATTCCTACTCCGAACGGGCATTCTGGATGCATTAGGAAGCCAACAGCTGGGTGCAGGGCTACCAAGCAACAACTTTGGAGGATGCTGTACAACTTTTGTTAATGGAACAGTTCTTCAACCCACACTCCAACGGAGACCCAGGACTGGGTAAGAGATCGGAAGCCGGGCACCGTGGAGGAGGCCGCCTGGTTGGCCGATGAGTATCATGATGGGAGGAAGGTGGAAACTAGCGGAGGGCGACCCTCAGTCCCTATTAACCAGTGCAAAGCAATCCCCCACCACTCAGACCCGTTACCATCACCCCAGCACTCCCCGCTACCATCACTCCAGCACCCATCCGGCGACCTGCGTCCCTATGCTATCACTGCCAGCAGCCGTGACATTTCAAACAGAACTGCCCTAGCTGAAGCCGAGGGAGCTGGGAAAGACCAGCGCCACAACCAGCCAGGGCCTCTGCTCACTGTTATCACCAGAAGGTGCCCCTGGACCAAGAGAACAGCGAGGAGCGGAGGAGGAGTTCTGTATGAGGCGAACCCAGTCCAGGCTGCAGGCGACAACAGGGAGCACCACCGGCAGTAGGTCACCATTGACGGCCAGGAGGCAAGGGGCCTGAGGGACACTGGTTCCAACATCACCCTGGTGCAGCCGCACAAGATAAGTGCCCCAGCACGCACCAACAACACGGTAGCTGTGAGGGTGGCGGAAGGAGCCATACATAAGCTCCCCACAGCCTGAGTGCACCTCAACTGGGGCTCGGAAGCCAAGCATTTGGAGGTCGGCATCATGAAGGAACTACCAGCCGAGGTGTTACTGGGAAACAACCTGGGCTGCCTGACCTCCTAACTTACCCAGCCCTGCCCAGAGGAGACGTACCCAGTGACCACAAGATCACAAGCTCACTGGGGGGAGCCATCGCACTCCGAGGACCCTCAGGTAGGACCCTTAGCTGAAGTCCCTGTTTTGGGGTACCCCCCTGGGTTTTGAGCAAGAGCAGAGGACATACCCCACATTAGAATGGTATAGGAGGGAGGCAGCGTTCCCCCAAGGGGATATAGCCCAGGAAAGATTTGAATGGGAAAGGGGTTTATTATACGGGGTGACAGGGGGAGCAGGGAAGGGGGCTGCGCAGATACCCAAAAGGCAGTTGGTAGTGCCCCGTAAATATACAGCTGATCTACTCAAGCTCAGCCACGACATTTCCCTAACTGGACTGGCTCATCCAGACCTACTTCTGGCCAGGGATCACATGGGACCTGCAATATTACTGCAAGACGTATGACACTTGCCAAAAGACAGGGAAGAGTGGTGACCACTCAAAGGCAAAACTACACCCTTTACCCATAATAGAGGAGCCCTTCCAACGGGTAGCAGTGGACTTAATAGGTCCCCTTCGTAAGCCCAGCACCTCAGGAAAGAGCTATAACCTCACGGTAGTAGATTATGCTACCAGATACACGGTGGCTGTAGCCTGTAGTGGATGGCATTGGGCTGTCCTCAAAATTATGTGTATTCGTATGCTTTCGGTTAATTTTTGCCATATGTATGTATGTTGTATGCAGCATTCAGCTGATTGTTCGGTAAAATCACTCCAGTTATTATGCAAGTGAAATTACAGAGCAATCAGACCACCCCAGGAATAAGTGTGCCTCCAATTACCGTCTGCAACAATGTTGCAAACGGGTAATTGGCAATCAGTGCAGTGTGTGCTTTGTCCTCAAAGTGGTGGCCGCCATTCAGGAGACGAACACGTGGCGGTGGCCATCTTAAACTCCCGAACAGCGGTGTTTTGCCGTCGAGTGTCTGGAACCCAAATCGGACACTCGGCTAGACGTCCACACTGCCCTCAATTCATGTAGAAACTCCCGAACAGCTCCCCGTTCGGTAGAAAGAACCCCACGAACAAGGGGGTTCTTATCCGAATCCTCCCCAGTCTCCATAACCCAAGCCGTTCATTTCGTGCATTTTATTCCCTTTTTTTGTGACCGACCGCAGGGCCAAAATGGATGGAACCCATTTCGGCTGTTACCTCCAGCGCGGTCGGTCTTTTTACTACCTCCAGGAATTTCACGAACCCCTGGTCCGATCTGGGTGATTTTTGAATATGTTTCTCACCCAGATCAGGGCTATCAGGGGATGTAATATTTAAAGGGATACCCCTATGTTTAGGGGTACATCCAGAAAACTAGGGGAACTGTTTCCTACATAATGGGATTATGAGTCATACTAAGGGGAGGGGATGTGTGGGTGGTAACTCATGTATGATTGGAGTATTGTATAATTACTGTAAATCCCTCCCTTGCATGGGAGAAAGCTTTAAAAGAAGGTTGTGTGATTAAAAGTTCAGTTCTGTTCCTGATGCTGTGTGTCGTCCAGTCATTGGGATTGATATTGGGATATTATTGGATTGGATTGTCTTGCTTGCTGGAATTATTGCCTTATGGATTTTTAATACTTGTTCCTGAGCCTCACTGGGATCTTGAGTGGAGATAACCTGTGGAATATCAGCAGGGCCGGACTGGGGATTCCAAAGCAGCCCTGGAAAAAAAATCTATTCCAGCCCCATAAGTCATTGCGCCATATATTGTCGCATGTAATATGTAAGGCCATGTCTTGCCACCCTAGATGATTGAGCTATATGGAAGGCATATGCCTGAAGTTGTGGGAGGGGTTATTTTCCTATTTAAATCCCCAAGTAACCCAGCTTACCTATCATCGCCGTTTGGAAGTCCTGGCCTGCTCGCCTCCCTCTTCCAGGTCCTCAACAGCGTGTTTCCGGTCCTGTCATTCCTTGTGGCTTTCTCGCCAGCCTCTGTTCGCACAAACGCTCGCAACTCAAACTAACGAACATGAACTGCCAAACATGCGAACACCAGGTAATCGGCGAGAATAGCCGCGTTCAGGCTATTTCCGCTGTTTGACACCTTCAAGTCTTACATATTTCATACGAACAAAACCCACGAACGCTCGAAACATACGTACACACAATACACCTGCCATACCGTTCGTTAAAATGTTGTTTCGTGCAGGTAATACCGACAGTGATTGTCTTTTGCACATTTTTTTTTTTTAGAATTCCAAATTATTGATAATTTTGTATGGTATCCTGTGAATTGTTCTTTATGGGAATCTAGATGTGTGTAATATTTGTTTTATTAGCACTGACTTGGAAAATACAAAGCATACAGCTTTGAATATGTATTTGTTATAAGCATATGTACTTTTTAAGTAATAAGCATTCAGAGGCAGGATTCTGACATTGTTTCATTGACACTTTAAGAGTAAACCTTTCCTCGCATGGCTAAATTAACCATTTATGCTCCTGGCTAGTAACACTTGTTCTCCTCTAGTATATTTGCGCTATTTTGTTTCCTCTAATTGCTGTTTACATACAGAACCCTCAGTTTTACCAAGTTAAAGGACCACTATAGTGCCAGGAAAACATACTTGTTTTCCTGGCACTAAAGTGCCCTGAGGGTGCCCCACCCTCAGGGTCCCACTCCCGCCGAGCTGGATGGAGAGGAAGGGGTTAAACACTTATCTTTCTCCAGCGCCAGGCTCCCTCGGTGCTGGAGACTCTCCTCCTCCTTTCCCTGTCATCGGCTGAATGCGCATGCGTGGCATGAGCCTGCGCGCGCATTCAGCCAGTCTCATAGGAAAGCATTCTCAATGCTTTCCTATGGACGCTGGTGTCTTCTCACTGTGAAAATCACAGTGAAGTGCGGAAGCGCCTCTAGCAGCTGTCAATGAGACAGCCACTAGAGGCTGGATTAACCCTAATGTAAACATAGCAGTTTCTCTGAAACTGCTATGTTTACAGCAGAAAGGGTTAATCCTAGATGGACCTGGCACCCAGACCACTTCATTAAGCTGAAGTGGTCTGGGTGCCTATAGTGGTCCTTTAATGCCTGAAATGAAGCCAACTCTCTCAATAAGTTGCATTTATTTCATGTGTACAAACACACATGCGAACACGCTAACCACCGAATGGGTATCGCATGCACACAAACGTAATAATTCACTCAACACAGTAATTTGTACATGAAAGCCCATAGGGCTATCCACACCAAGCATATTGTTCAGCTAAATCGGTGTTTAAGCCTATATACGTTACATACACGTACACTGCCATCTACGAGAAAATTACGTTTATAATTTATAAACACGCAATCCTAAATTCTGCAATTGTATTTTAGGGAGTTACATTTTACTTACATGGAAAGGTTCATTAACTAGTGTTACATTCCCCAAAAAACTAACCAAGAACTGCTACTGGTTCTGTTTTGTCCAATAAAATACAGGTCAACCACAGCATAACAATATGGGCAGTGGCCTTCACAATACTAAAAATATGAACAATCAGTATCTCTGCGAGTTAGCTGTCTGACCAGACATACATCTACACCACTACATATACATGTGGTCATTCCCCATGAAGCTCAGCAGGCCGTAGCTTAAACATGATTACACAAGATCCTCAGATCACGTGTCTCTCCCCGTTGTGAAAACAGGGATGTTTGTTTAAAAAAAAAAAACAATAACGTATACTCGACTTAAAAACATTAAAAACCGGGCCATGATCTGGCACTTGTGAGCCCGAGGGCTATACACACTCATACATACATGAAGGTGCAAAAAAAAAAAAGGAAGTTAAGGGCTGCGCCTTGACAAAAAAAAATGAGTATATGAATAAAATAAGCAATAATAATAAAAACAAGTAAAGTTCATCCGAATAAATAAGAGTATAAATTAAAACAGTCTCACTGATGTGCAGTAATATAATAATAATCCTCAAGTGTCGCTCCGTCCGTATGGTAGGTAGTCCATATATGTGAAGACAAAAGATAAGAAAAAAAGTTTCCAATGGTGAAATATTGTATGTCCAAATGTGGTATATATTCAAAGGAAAGGTATTTCACTCGCATTTGTTGGAGCTCTAACCAGCTCTAGGAGAAGAGGCACTTAGTGGTTTAATCCCCACTATCGGATGTACTTTAGTGGTTGGTTCGTCCGTCCGGCTTGGGATTTCTTTGATGTAGGCTAGGACCTACTCAGATGTGCGTTATTCTTTTATGCTGGGGAGATAGGTCCGCCTCTCCGGTATTGGATAGTAGGTGTCCACGAGATATATATAAAACAGCAGATAGTGCTCTCAGTATGAACAACACAGTAAGATCTTAAAATAAGTTATACTTACAAAAATAGAGCAGACAGGTACTGCTCTATTGCCACATTGCTGGTGGAATTATCCCCACCTCAGGATATCTTTGGACGGGATACACTGGTCCTGAGCCTATGGATCCTGGCTCTAGGTATATAAACTCTGTGCCGATTTGAATGGGGATGGCACTGTCCCTATGCAGATTCTTTTAGAGGCTCCAAAAAAGGACTTTAAAAGACTTAAAAGTAAAATAACAAATTTATTAATATAACATATGTATAAAAAAATATAAAAACAATGGATATAAAAAGTCCTCAGTAAAAGTCCTTTTAAAAATAGCCAAAACGCGTTTCACTCTTGAATAGAGCTTCCTCTTTTTAGGGTTGCTGCTCAATTGAGTTAGCGCAGACTCTTCCCCTTTTTTATTCTCACACATCCATACATACATGCATTCTATTTCATACGTACTCCATACAGTCTGACCATCTGGACCCCAACGTGCTCAAAGGGCACTCCAGTTACGTTCGGCCTTACAATTCTAACTCATTACCCCCTCCCTTGTTTTCGTCCCATGGTGTGTCCTCTCTCACTTAGTTAGCTGTGGCTGGCTATCAGTTTCCTAGGTGTCCACTAGTTGTTATTCCCCCTGGCTTCTTCGCCTTAGGTTAGTGGTCCCGCGAGGCCAACACCCATCCTCATACTCGGAGGTAGTAAGCCTCTCGGGCCAAATCATAGTTAGTCGCCTCGCATTGTGGCAAAGATAGGGCCTCACCTGTCACTCCCATTCTATTTTATGTTTAACTGTCACCGAGAGGCCGACACCCCGCCACAACGTTCGGTGGCCACGTTATCCCCTCGTGCCAGTGCATAGATAGAGCCTCTCAAACCGCTTGCCACCTAGCAGGGCCTCACCTGTCACCAACCTAGAGTAATTGCATCACTGCATTGCGGCACTAGCTAGTCAGCCAGCACACACACACAAAAAACAGGTAACAGAGAGTTGGGGTACGGCGCCTGCAGACCCCGTCACGCATACGCACTATATTTCAGTCCCGATACTAAGATCAGGTGCCCTAGCGGATTATTTCCCACCTCGTTTATAGCTTTAGTTTCGATTGTGAGTTTATATACACCTGGCAGTGATACAAATAGTATGTCAGACCTCCATCATACAAGGCTAATCCATGCTTTCAATACTTCAATCACTTACGGGCTAAGGGTCTACTAGATAATTAGATATAACAGTACAAGGATGATAGCCAAATACATATATATCCCCAACTTGTCACTCATTTTGTGATCCTATAATACCACATACACTAGCTGCCATATCAATTTAGTAGTAATCTTAAAGAAGGAACCAAGATCAGCGGTGTTCCTCCAGCAGTTGTTTCAGGTGTTTTATTCCTTACATATATATTTTCAGTTAAAGACGTATATTGGGCCTCACACTGCCTTTTACGTTTAAACGTTGTGCATATTTAGACATTGCATCGGACCATCGTCAGGTCCTCGATACACTTACGTACATATAGTGACTGCTTTCCAGATTTTATTCATTACAGAGTATACTATTTATTATGTGGCGACCTATTAGGGGCATTACAGTACATTGAGTTCTAGATTACTATACCATGACTCATACCATCGCTTAATGATCACGTCTACGTCATTTTATACAATGCAATGCAGATTAAAGCATTAGTAAGTCTAATGAAGATAAGGTAAAGTAGAGTTCCCACTTGTTTCATATCGAGCATCGAGGCGTCACTTGGCCTTCATTACGACCAAACGAATACAATTCAAATCCTTAACAGCCAATAGGGACTTGTTTCTGGATGCTTGACCTTCGCAAGGTTCTCCATACGCATTCAATCATACGTTACGCTATGTAATATTACATACGTTTCACTATGTTACTTTACATTTCAATAAGTCCATCAGGATTGACTTTCAGTCACGCTATCTGTTTTCTGTCTAAAAGTAACACCTATAGGCATCTTATAACACAGACAAATGTCCGACCCCTAAGCCTATCAAGTAAACTATCAAAGGGTATTTATTGTACAACACATATCATCTTTAAGTTTAAACCACAATCAAAAGCTCCTTTTCAGATTCCTCTCTTAAGAGCACACATTTTCCCTACTGTTAGTCACTATATTTTCATTCTATTCTTCGATTCACATCACAACTGGTAGTTTCGTCAAATGCCTTTTCCAGTCTTTTTTTCTCTGGTTCTATCCACTTTGCTCACGCATGTACGGTTATGTTCACACTCATCCACAAGAAACAAGCCCTGCCAAGGGTAAGAAGAACTGAGGCCAGCTACTAATACTCTTCTGCAGGGTCTTAGGTAGGGCCTCACATGTCACGGCCACAAGGATTGTCTTTTTCCGCAACCGACAGGTCAACACCCCGCTACGTCGCATGGTGGCTACGGGCCTACACGGCCCAGGTCAAGGTAGAGCCTCTCACAGCCACTGGGCGGATAGCGGGGCCTCACCTCTCACTGGATAGTTAAAATCTTCGCCTATCAGTACTCGTTAACAAGCCAGCTCTACACAAAGCATATTTCAATTGGCATCAAAGTTTCACATGGTTAAAACACATATATATATATTTTCTTGTCTCTCCTTCCTTCCGTACAGGGGGCTACAAGAATAGCTCCAGTTGACATTCTATATTTAATAGACACGCTAACCCTGTCATCCCAGGTCCCTTGCAGTATCCCCCACCCTGGCCACTCCTAAACTCCTGAAGTCTGACCTTACTTAAAGGTAACGGTTGAGCTTAAAGTATGTTCAGCCCAGAGATCCTCTACAGTTCAAAAGATCTAATCTTGCATTAAGTTAGTGATCAATTACGCAGGTAGATTTGTCCACCAATACTAAAGAACTTACTCTAGAGCTTACGATATGTGTAAAATGGTGTATTATTTCAATATAATAAATGCGTTCCAATTGTAAATGGTTGCTTGCACAAATTTTTGCCACATCTCTTTGAAAGTAGCCTACAATACAATTGAAACTATACTTACAGGAGTTTAACTTTACATGTAAACAATATACCCAACAGTTCCCATTTGGTTTCTTATTTAGTAAAAGTGTGCAGACAGTTGTCAGAGATCAAAACTCTACAAATTAACCAATTCACTCCCTATCGACAATAAATCTTAAAGCGGCACTGTCATGCCGTACTTACCTTTCCTCAATCTCTTCCTCTTCTCCCCTCTCTCAGGATCTGTTCTTCTTTTCTTCCTGTCTTCTTTAGTTTTCTTTAAAATCATAAGACAAAGTAGGGACTATTTGCCTTATGGAGGATTCCTCCGCTTGACCAGCTTTGACCAGCGGAGGAGCAAAGTGTGCTTTATTTCCGCTGGTCAGAGCAATTTCCCCATAATTCTTACCTTTCCTCTGTGTTCCCGCGATGCTTCCTGTCATTTTACACAAAACTGCCGAATTGCGTTCTAACTGAATGAGAACAGTATGTTCGTTTCTTTTAGAACGCAATTCGGCACTTTTTTCGGATCGGAATTTCATTCGAAGGAATGAAACTCTGATCCTATTCTTGCTGTGGCTGCATCTTGCAGCCGCTTAGTAGATAACTCCCTAATTCCCACGGTATCAGGGAGCTATCTACTAAAAGGCTGAAAGACCTAAATTGGTCTAACAGCCAACTTTACTAATACTAAGTAAAGATTACTTAGTATTAGTAAATAATATGCCCCTACTCGCAATACTGCGAGTAGGGGCATGTCTGGTAAACAGTGAGCAGCTTATAGCTGCTCACTGTAAAAAAAACTAATAACCTCCCCCCCCTGCCTGTGGGGGCCCTAAATAAAGATGGGGGGGACCTACTGTCCTCCCCCCCGGGCCCCACCCCTGTGCGGTGGGTGGGGGCCCTAAATAAAGATATGGGGGGGAACTTCTGTCCCCCCCCGGCCCCCACCCCTGCGCGGTGGGTGGGGCCCTAATAAAACAATAAGGGGGAGGGACCTACTGTCCTCCCCCCTGGCCCCCACCCCTGCGCGGTGGGTGGGGGCCCTAATAAAACAATAAGGGTGGGGGACCTACTGTCCTCCCCCCTGGCCCCCACCCCTGAGCAGTGGGTGGGGGCCCTAA